GCCAGCAAGCCAGCAAGCCAGCAAGCCAGCAAGCCAGCAAGCCAGCAAGCCAGCAAGCCAGCAACCATTATTTGGTTGGTCGTTAGTTGGTTGGTTGGTTAGTACCTGTTCGATTCGACTAACTCTTTCATACCAAAGCCCAACTATTAAAAATATCAATTTTTCTTTCTTACCAATGCGAAGCTCGAATGTAGTATTCCACAAGCGAAGACCCCATTGAGGATGTGTCCTAGTGAACACTGAAACTTCTTCCACTTCAACACTCTTACCAAGATCAACACGCCACCATTCCCTATCATGCCTTTGATCACAGAGTGTACAGGATCCACTCAACCAATTACCATCACGGTTACCATCAACAGCTCTTGAAGCAATTCCATTTTTACTGGTGCTAGATTGCTTCGATATTTTATATATTGCGAGGTTTTCTGTATGCAAAAAAAAAGCGTCTTACTTTAAATAAGCATTGAAATTTATTTATAGATTAATTTCATAGTCCCCATGTCCTAGCACAAAACCAACAAAAATTCCCTTTGTTAAACGAAAAACTCTTGTCGTGTGAAACAATTCAGTGCTTTGTTCCTGCCCTCCAACATGGCTGCAGTGAAACCTCCTCGGCATAGAAAGAAAATAAAAAGGAGAATTTTGATTCCTCATTTCAAACTTTTGATTTTACACTAAGGACACTTCGAACCATAAATACTTCGAGTATTTTTTCCAGGTTATTGTTTCCTGAGTTTTCTACTATTTAACTACCTCTAAAATTAAGTATCGAGTTGAAAAACACTGATCAAAATAGTTTTTTTTCTAATCGATTGGAAAGGGATGATTTAAAAAACTGTGAAATTTTAACTACTCGCCTGATTGCATTTGTATTCCATATATCTCAGCTCTCATACAAACAGCTCCGTGGTGCATCATGGGTAGGATACGTAGATATCTGGCAGTGATTCCGTGATACAGAATCTGCTTGACGATCCCTGAGCCATCAACGTTACCATGAAATATCTGGAAACAAGATTCATCAATTTAGAATTCCAACAATTTCAATAATACAGCAATAATAATGATAATAATAATAATAATAATAATGACATTACATTGCATCATACGTTGAAGATGACGTTTATGATGGTAATGATATTAATGATAATTCATGATGATTAATGCAAGTGTTGATGGAGACAATATATAGTTGATTAGTGTTGATGATACAATGATAAAAGCTACCTGTTGTGTATTGCTGTTATCCTTGTATTGTTGATAAGTCTTTCCATCATCAGAATAATTAATCCGAAAAGTCTTGACCCACTGTTTCTTCTGATGGTCACCCTGTGTTGACACAGCACAGATGATGTGGGGGGTCCCTAAGTCAATCTGTAAATAAGGGTTGTCATCATTTCCCATAGCACACCACGGTGGTCCATGAGTGTAGTTTAGTCTGGCCTGGTCACCCGCTATCCCTGAAGATGCTGTAATCTTGTGAGCTGGTGTGATATTATTCTGCATGCCAAGAGCGTCATTCCCACAATCAAAACCTGTAAAAGTCAACCACGTGATCAACTGTTTAATGATGATCATTGAAAACCACAGTCAAAACCTACAAAAGTCAACTACGTGATCAACTGTTTAATGGTGATCATTGAAAACCAGTCAAAACCTGCAAAAGTCAACCACGTGATCAACTCTTTAATGATGATCATTGAAAACCAGTCAAAACCTACAAACGTCAATCACGTGGTCAATTGTTCAATGTTGCTCATTGAAAACCATAGTCAAAACCTACAAGTCAATCACGCGATCTAAATCGATGCTGTTATCCAATGAAATTTATCCAATAAATAAGATTTATCCGTCGGATAGCGCTATCCACCCTTCGTACAACTGGGGCCAGCTAGTTAATTTGACACATCGTAATAAACGTTTCCCAGCCACAGCAACAACAACAAACAAAAAATACACGTAAATCAAAACAAAAAAAGTACTAGGAAAAAATATACGATTTACATTACGAAATGGAATTATGAAAACAATAACGTTAACGGGATGACAGCATGTAAGCAGTGGGGATCTAAATTAACATGATATTCTTGGTTTGCAATCAATCCCAAGAGAGCACAATAACAAAAGGGATGTCCGCCATGTTGGAAGATATAACAAAAGAATTCATTTAAAAATCTTTTGTCAAATTCTTCCAACATGGCGGCTATAAAGTATATTGCAAACGAAGAATAGGTCATAGTGGCGTCTTGAGGGCTATTTTAATCCCTTTCCTTTTCGAATGACAAACATTCTTCAAGTATTTTATTGGCATATCATTCCATCGATGCACACTGAGTTCGTTTAGTTTGCCATCGTGAGAAACATTGCTTACGGCTAATGAAGAAAAAAAAACACAACACCAATCCGTATTATATTTTTGTTATTATGATAGCATTGAATACTTTAGTTTCGAGTTATCTTTTGCTCAGGGTTAATTACCTCGATTTTGTGCAGAATATTCATGTGTTTCAATGAAGGTCCGTGGAATTTCAGTGTTTGTATTATTGAAGTTGAGCATTCTTTACTTTACCGTTGGCATTTGTGAATATTTTTACACCGAAAATGAGGCTAACCCTGTGTAAATGAGTCTGTAATCATATCAAGGAACACAGCGATATTGAACGAATTTGAAAATTTTCTATAAGAACTAAAGTTATAATTGCATCATATTTGTCAGCAATTGTATTTAGTTTTAGGAATGTATACACCAAGATACTGGGGTTTTTTTGTTTTTGTTTTTGTTTTGTTTTTTGTTTTATACTGATTTAGTATACCTCGTACATTGACAAGGATGAAAACTGAAAAATGTATAACAATAAACAATATACTGTCAAATATGATATCATTATTACTAATACTGGAGAAAAAAAGACTTACCTAATACGTGTCCAGTAAAAAATATATAATACATGAAAAACACTAAGAAGTGAATTACTGGCATGTTGTATGGCTGGATAATCATGAAAGACTAAATAATATTTAATCACACAGACCCCTTAGCCTGAGGTTATTATTAACGGGGAAAATTAATGTTGAAGAGTTTTAGTTTCGTGTCGGAATTGGTTGTTTCTTTTTGCAAAATTCTATAGAAAATGAAATGTTGTTATACCGTTACGAACCATTTGGACCTATTATTGCAATATATGCTATTTCAAAATAAGGTTGTATGGGCGAACGGCGAATGGCGAACGGGTATTGGCGATTACACAACCGAAAGGAAATGTGGTCTGACATACGATTTAAAAATAAAAAGCAAGGCATAATTTCGTCACCTAGAAAAAAACACTACATATCTTAACAATAACCTCTTTATTATCGAGGAGAAAAATAATAAGAAAGACTAGACATTCTAGCTAGTCTTGGATCGTTGAATGACCAAGTCTAGTATTAGCAGTTCAGAGGTCATGAAAATGAAACTGGGTCGCGGAGTTCTCTTTACGGTGCCCTGCGAGCAGAGGTATTTTTACCAGCCAACCCATGGAGGGTCAGAAAAAAAACTCTGCTCGCAAGGTAGCTTTACGGCAGTGTGAGTAATTCATTTGTAGATTTTTAAATGTAAAATTAAAGATAAAGTTATTAGATACTTTATGAATTAGTTATTAAAGGAATAAAATTATTTGGGATTTTTTGTTATTGTTGTTGTTGTTGTGAAATCCACTGTTAAATCCTATTATTTATTACTTATTTGTTTATCTAATTTATTATTTGTTATTCAATTAAAAAGACAAGTCGTTTCACAGCTTACGGCCCACATTCATTTGGGCTTCCGATTTCAGCTCCGACTGGCATATACTTATTTCAATAAAGTTAGTCACCTGAATTAAGCTATAAGCTGAGGCCGACAAGGATTATGGGTAGATACATTTTACATGTTTTAACCGCTTGATAACTGTTGATGGACTTTTGAATTTTTTACCAATTATAGTCTCATCTCTCCTGAGCATCCTCAAGCTGCAGTTTGTATCAAAAAAGCCTTACCTGTTGATTGTTTCCTATGTTCCTCAATGGTCTCAGCTTTCTGTAGGTTTTTGGTGACTAGCTTTACCGAAATAAGTATATACATGTAGATCTATTTCAAAAAACGTGGTTGTCGCTCGGAAATTTGAAATCTGAAATATGACACATAAAACGAATTGTGGACTTTGAGCTGTGAATTTCAATATGAAGAAAATGATGATTGTTTTGTCATTTAAATAGTAGTTCACAACAAGTTCATATGTAAATATACCACCACCTTTGAGCGATATCCTGCGTTGGCAAAATATTGTTCTCGGATTCAGATTTTTCAGATCTCCAAATAGTTCGAAATAGGCGTATCAGTAAAATAGACCTTAAAATCTCGTAATAGATGTAATCGTATAACAAGTTGTTTTACGCAAAAAAGGCGCAGCAAACGCGCAAAATAACTTTTATCTAGACTTTCCAACAATGTTTCAACAATGAATTGGCTTTTTAGACAATTAATTACCACTTCCGGTAATAGCTGCATTTTTGATGGCTTGTAGAATCTTGGAGGTTGTTTTGATCTCTTGTTTYCTGGTTTGATRTCGTGAAAATAGTCAAATRCAATAGTTTGAAGACTTATTTTGACATGTTTTGACTTAACATCCGCTAGTTGCCCCTCAGTCAACCGCTTGTTTGCCCCCCAGTCAACTCCAAAAAGTCACGTGATTGATAGTAAGCAATTCATACGTTTGACACTTTTTAATGTATTCGGCTTCAAACAATTGTACTTATTTTAACATAATTTTTACAGATAATATTAATTATTTTTCTGTTCTTTTATAGTAATCTTTCAGTCATGCTCAGTAGTTCAATTAATGTCAAGTCTAATTTGACAGCTAAACTTTTATGGTATTTACTTAACTTTGATTTTATTTGAATTAGTATAAATAATATTAAGTGTTTTAAAGGGAAAATATAAAATCCATTTCTATGCATATCAAGCATAGATGTCAATTTGAGAGTAGTTTCCAAGATTGACTCTTTTCTTTCCACAAAAAAAAAAATCTAATTTTCGACTAGTTTTACGAAAAAAATGGGGTTCTATGTTTTTCCTGCACAAAAACGGACGGATTCAGGTCCGAGATTTCTTAAGCCTGTGTTTATTTATATTTATTAGAAGCTGATGCGTATTTGGATGTCTAAATATTGAGAAATGAAATATTATAAACAGCAACTGCCACCAAGTCGAACGTCAATCATAACTATTTTATAACATTTCTTTCTCGAGTTGATCCCGACTATGAACGATGCATTATTTTCACGAATAAATAAATAAATTCTGGAATCGAAAGTGGCCTTTGAACTATATATGAAATGTCGGGTTTGATTCCTGGACTCAGTATCACATCGGTAAGTTAGAGTTTGTTAGCTCTCTCTCTCTCTTGATTCGAGGGTTCAGTTTTCCTAGCCCAAAACTTAAACCGCGATAAATTGTTCGTGATAAATTTGTCAGCGAAAAAAATAACTTATGAGATTGTTAACTCAAACCAAGACTCAAAGGATTGTGACAAATTTTCTCAAGGAGAAAATGTTAATTATTATTAATAATTATATCACAGTTGTTGAACTGAATAAAAGTTTTACCGTCATCTTTGATCTTAGACTTTTTCATCTTTGGCTCTTCTTGCTCTCTCTCTTCCTCCGTCAATCTTTTGAGGTGCGTTGCAAGCTTGAGATACGCTCGTCCAATTCTCCATCTGATAGTGGTTTTTCAAATCCTGAAGCACTTGATTCAGTCGTATCGCACTGTTTCTCTACCGTTGGTGAATGTATATCTTTTGAGGTGCTTTGCAAGCCAAACAACTCTTCAATATCCAGGTCGAAATCAGGCAGAGTTCCTAAAAAGCTGTTTGGGGTAATGAATAGCTCTTCTTCGCTGTCCGCCATCCTTTTTCAATGCTGCCAGAGGTTCAGAGAACACTGCGACTCATCGTGTTCTCTGAATGAAATGCATCGATTCTTAGAACATTGCGTAAACCGAAACCACCAAAACGGCGTGCAAACACTTTTCGAAACTAACAATGGACTGAATTTTCAAAACCATCATTGAAGAGTATGATTGCCAAAATACAAGCGTGCACGTCTACTGAAAAAAAGCTAACAAAAACGCGGCTTTATTCAACACAATTCATCGAAAAGTGTAAAGGATTACGGCATTGAACAATGAAACTGGGATATTTAACTACTATTTAATTATGTATATTCT